AACCCGTGCAAGAATGTAGAGCACGAGAAACCCACCAAGACGAACGAAAATCGAGCGATATCGCCAAACAGAAAGAGGTCCACATCGCTGGACACTCCTAATCTACGAGCTCCTACCGTTCGCCTTTTAAGCAAAAAGCGTCGGCGTTCGTTGCGACTGAAAGAAGCGGTCAACACCTCTGCAGGGTTGCAATAATTTATCCTAAAAATAAGAAGCGTTTTGGCGAAGCCACTTTTCGCCATACAAGATTTGCCCAAGCTCCACGGAGGTGTTAGGATGGGCGTAGGAGAAGATCCATAAGTTTACAGAACGAAGACGAATCGATTTTTATTTCGTGTCTATCACGTCTGAAATGGGCTCGTAGAAACTTCAAACAAAGCTGTCAAAAATAGATTCTTTTTTTTTCTTAAATCAGTCTTGTTGGGGTTATAAAGTTGCTGCTTAACAAAGCAGGCCCCCCTGCGTCAGCTTGGAACTACTAACATTGCCAACGGCCCTTGCTGAACAAACCAACTGTAAACGTGTTTGGTAGAATTTTTATTTAACCCCTTGGCTCCCGAAAAAAAGGCCTCTGTACACGTAACATAATGTCGTATCTAATGACGTATTCATTTATCATTGGTTTTGTATGTGGCAAACATACCCCGTGTGGGGTAGGTAAATAAACCTTTGAGACTCTCAAAGGTGAGAGGTTTCCAGATCAATGTCGTAAGTTACAGACAACGACGGTGAAATCCAACATACCTTTGAACACGCCCGAGTCCAAACATGGTTTTCCCAATGAAATCAGCTCCAGCCAATCCGTATGCCGTATTTACGCATTTATGTACAATCAACCTGATTCCTGTTTCGGTTTTGTACATTTTGGAATCGTTTTTGTACTTTTTGTGCTGACTTTAAGCTGAAACTGCCACTTTCAACCAATCAAATAACTTTATTTATATGAAGGATAGTGGTCAGACACCGGGCGGATTTCACCGTCGTTGTCTGTATTCACCTTTCAGATCTCGAAAGGAGTGACCGTCGTTACTTACTATCGCCAAACACACCGCATGGGAACAGAGGCCTGACGATTAGCACTGTGAGGACAGTCATTATAAGAAATGGAAGAAAAGATGGTACACATGTTCAATTAATCTTGCATTACGACCTGCTGACAGTTTCTCTCATCACCTGATACGCAACTCACTCATCGTCGCATTCCTCCTCGTAGTCACTATCACTTCCGTTGTCGCTGTCATTTGCTTGGAGCTGGAGCTCATGGCGGTTTTATTTTTGCGAGCACCAGTGTTTTGCCCGGGGCGGCGCAAGAACACGCGCCACCCCAAGGTAGATGAGATGGCCTCACCGGCATCGAAGTCATCGTACCATATCTCGAAGCACATTTTGGCGACACCCTTCAGCTCACGCCTGATCGTGTTGCACAGCCACAGCTTAGCGTCGTCCAGCGAGCACCGCTCGCTGATTTCGGTAGTAGCGAAATATTTCTTGAATGAGTTTATGCGCAGCAACGCGCATAATTTTGCGTGAGTGCTGCTGGCGCTTTTGCACGCCGCTCACAATTACCCAGTCCTCGCTCTGCTCGGTGCGTGCGTGTGGCGGACAGGGGCTCGCCTGTGCTTCTGGCCTGTGACCGGCCGCGTCGCAACCACGCCGGTGAAGTCTAGGGCATTGAGCTGCAGTAGCTGGTTCTGGAGCAGACAGTACCATTTGCCATTCTTCATCGCTGGTGTGCCGGCCATCTGCGCGGCTTCTTTGTGTGGTAGATTTGCGTTTACCATCGCGATGTCCACGAACCCGAGGAATAGGCTCTTATTTTGTTTTAGGACATTTGACAACGTCTGCAGCGAGAACTTCTGCATCGTGTATGTCAGCTCCACTCATTCAAGTCTGGTAGTCCGTCACCGCTGTATGGCATGGCACCGTGATGGCCCTCACTCGCTTCATTGTCCGAACAATCGTCGATTCAGTCATCGCGGCACCCGTGCACATTTTGTGCACCGGTTTCTGATACCACCATTAAAATGCAACCATGGTGGGGATGGCCACGGAGCGAGAGAACTTGAACGATCCGCGGGTGACGCCTGCATACCGAGTCTAACGGCTCTCCTTCACCTTGTTGTCACAGCCGAGCTGGTCGGTCATGATAGTGCCTATCACGTACACCTTCATCTTCAGAAGCTCAATAGTCAGTAAGACTGACGAGTAAAAGCGGTCAATCACAATTGTGTGTCACGAGTGTCGGTTTTGACTCGAGCACAACCTTCAAGTTGCGAAATACTGCAGCGGTACCCGTCTTGTTGTTGAATGCGGACTCTTCTTTGCCATCATTGCGCTTGCCAGCGTACAATTCGAATCTATACAGATACGACTTAGCATGGGATAATCAATGCTGCAAGCCATAACTTACGACATAACAATCTCAAACAAAAAATAACTTTCTTTGGCAGTACGCAGTCTTCGGGCCGCACATCATAAACATGTTCGAGCCGTAACGCTGGGACTTATCAGACATGAGCATGCGGATCGTGTTGCGCCGAGACGCCGACGGCAGAACACCCTCGTCAAAGGAAAACACCCCTTGGAGCGGCCGCCCCGCCAGATACCGATCCTGCAGCTTGTCAACGATCGGTCGCAACATCCAGAGCTTATCTCGCGTCCGCGGGGCAGCGTTGTCCACAAAGTGAAAACCGCACATGATGTCTTGTATAGGTTGCGCGCCATCAAGCGCCCAAAGTTGCCGTCTGAAACCGCGCCGGCTTCCATCACCGTCCAGGGATTGGCGAAACGGCGGTTTTGCGGGGACAGCGTTGGCGAGATAAGCAGTCCAAGCGCGTGAAGGATCTCATGCGTCTCATACCCGCGCATTTTCTTTTGCCTGTGGCAGATCTGCTTGAGAGACTCGACGCTTCCGTTTCTTCCCCCGCCTATTTGGTTGTTTTGTTGCTTGTGCACGTCGTTTGCTTTCCTGGAGAGCGTACTAAGATGTCTCAGCGCTGATCAGAATCCACAGTGACTTCGGCATAAAATAAATAAACGTCAGGAGCGGCGAGTGGGCCAAGATGCGCAGCCCAGCCACCGAATGCGCCTTCTGTCGTTCATGCCAGCGTCCGCGGTCACACCCGCCTCGAGAAAAGAGGATACGGACGTCTACTGAGTAGCACAAAGCGTGGTCTCACGCTACTTCTTTGCCGCCCCTCTCAGCGAGCTCTCTCCAATCATAGCGAAGCGATGAACACCTCATCCATGTCAACTGCGTCGCCCTCCACGAAGACATCATCGTCATCTTTAATATCACCACGCTTAGGCTCATCGCCGTCCTCACTCACGTCTTCACTCTCACTTCGCCGGAGCTGAAGCTCCCGTAATCACCCTCGTCCTCGTCCCCCGCGACAACGTCCACGTTATACTTGACCCGCGTGCGTGGGCGTATCGTTTGGACTGGTGGATATAGCTCCTCATCGCTCCTCTTGGCCCCGCTTTCGAGACCAGATGCCTCCGATAGCAGCTGTAGGCTCACCGCAGCATCAATATGCGAAGCGTTGGTCTGGATATAGCCCGGCGACAAGCTTAACGGAGGGAGAGAGAGCAATCGCTGTGTCAATTTGCGACGCATCCAAACTTTCTGCCGAATTCCCGGTTGGGGCTGATTGCGTCGCTTGCATCGTGCTGGCTGTCTGCTCCGCCGCCGTTGTTGTTCGCGCCGCCGCTATTGTGATCACAGCCGTCGCGCTTGTTGTCCTCGCCGCCGCCGCTGTAGTCCCAGCCGCCGCGCTTGTGGTCTGCGCTGTCCTTTTCCTCGCCGCTACCGTGCTTGTTCTTAGATCTGCACCATCCTTGAACTCATCCAAGAGGACCGACTCCAACGCGTGTATTTTTAGCGCGTTCTCTCCCTACCGTCAGGGCTGACATAACCCCCTCGCTACCGAGACCTCTCGATCGCTTGTATGTCCAGCCGACAGAAGTGTGGAAAGTTGATGTCGCTGAGCCGGCGGGGACGGCGGCGGTCTTCCCGCGCGCGCTAGTTCGGATGCGAGCTATCCAGCAGATTCTCGAATGAGTGGCTTCTGGCAACTGGTCATTTGGATTCGTTTTTGTCATGACTATTGTCTCCCCGTTGATTTTTCTCAAAAACCTCTTTGGTCTAATACTTTATATTTCACCTGAATTATTTTCTGAAATTGCAACTCGTCTTGCTCTCAATATTGTAACTTACGGCATAACAAAAGCGAAATGTCACAGTTTACGACGTTGCGAACCAGGGGTTTAGAATAAACAAATAATGCTAGCTACTTTTAAATTTAGGATCAATGCTATCTCCTACTGCTACAGCCTACGCATTAATAGTCACGTCGGCACTTAAAGTCGGATTACAATTTATGATGAGACCTAAACGTGGTTTTACCAAACAATTCCTCGTGATTAAACTTTTATGCGATACTTCTAATTAGGGGGCTGGAAGGCCCCTTTAATTCTGCTAATTCCCCGGTAAATCTTGAGAGCAATTTTAGCTTAGTCATAGAATCGCTCACATTTTATTCTCAAAAATCTAATATTTTTTCCGAGTCGCAGATTTAATATTTTTATATCAAATTACCTTTTACATTTTGACTAAGTATCATTTTAAAAATCAGGAATAGTGCTATCAATGTCATATTTACGTAAAAATAATTTCCATTATAATGCTAACAGCTTCTACCCGAGGTTGGGATAATCTTTAGGAAGGTTGTAATGCCACCTAGCTCGGTTCTTCTAGCTGCAAACATCACCAGAAGCTAGTCTGGCATAGACCTTTCCTCGCGTGACCCTATTAATAGTTCTTTTGTTTTCAATACTCTTTTTGACAGTACTAACGTTAGTACTCGATACTATCGCGGGCCGTGTGAGGTAAAGTGGCAACCACTAACTTCCTTTTCTTCATCAGTTGAAGAGACCACGGCAACTTGTCATTATCACTGGCTCGATAGTTAACATTTTATTTCGTGTAGTGTAGCTCCAATTCACCGCGCATGAGCTAATAAAAGTTCATAAGCCAGGAGGATCTCTTTAAAAATGTTCTCAGCTTCAGGGTCTGGGTTGCAGTCCGGATGCCACTCGAGCGCTTTGGCTCGGAACGCGTCTTTGACCTGCTGTTGCGTGAAGGAGACCCGGTCAAAGCCGTCGATGGGTGTTGCGTCAATGCCTAGAGCTTCTAGGGCCTGGCGAATGTCCTCCTCACTGGCTGCGAGGTTGTTTAGGTCGTCGCCATCTCCGCGTCGTCGACGTTGCTTCGTACGGAATTTGCGCGGGTCAAAATTGAACCAGTTGAAGGGGCACGTCTTGCACGCCACGTCCCAGCCGCAGAGCAGACAGCAAAACTCAAGCTGCTGTCGCTGCAGCGCAAAGTGACTGGAGACCAAGTGGTCGGCCTTCTCTTCTTCGCTTATTGGGCTGCGGGGCACTACACAAGCACCAGCCAATTTGGACGAGGCGGCGGTGGTGCAGTACGATCGGCTTCTGGGAACGCGCAACACACTGCGAGGAATCATCCCGACTGAACAATGAATGCTGCTGGAATGTGCGCACGTGCCAAAAACAAATGAAAAATATAGCTGGGGGTATAGTCCGATGTATACTTTACGTATAGTAGAGCAGCAACAAACACATAGGAAATCTCTCGCATAGTTCTCGTCAAGGTGTAGACTAAGCAACGATCGGCGTCAGTTAATATATGTGCAACCCGCACTGCAAGCTTCTTGTCGGTAGTATTGCAACTTGGGCAGGCTGGAGCATAGAGAGATGAGGCCAGCAGGTGCGGCATAGCCGCCGTTGTCCCACAGACCCATGTGTCAGTGTCACTTGCCGCGTCATTCCTTCTTCTGCCGCCAACGCCCCCGAAGCATTTAAAACAACATGGCTCCGTCTGTAGTGGGGTCACCGCTCGCCCCTTTCGTAGACTTGGAGTCCCATTCGCCCACGTCGACTTATGAAGACGTAAGACGCGGTTTGGATCTGCTCGGTGACGGCAAAGAGCACGTCACTCTGGACGCGTCGACGGAGAAGCAATTGCTCCCGTTCGAGAGGATGTTCCAGTTCGAGCGCATCAAACGTCCGTTGTCTTTCGGCCACTTGTTGCTGGTGCTATACGCGCCGTTCGGGTTGATCTTACTGCTCATCCGTGGAATTTGCTGCTTCCTTGCGGCTCTTGTCGTGCCTCGGCTCTTTTCGGAAGAGCAAATGGATCGCTTGCATGTTGCTCGCCTCTTCGTGTGGCTCACGGGCACTCGAGTGCGTCTTGTGGATGAACATTTCTATGCGAAAGGCGAAAACCGAGCAGAGATCATCGTTTCCAACCACATTAGCGAGTTCGATGCAGTTGCCATGCTGAGCATCACGCCAGCCTACATTTTAGGCTACGATTTCTACAAGAATATGCTGTTCTTCAAGCTGCTAGGAGACAAGCCTGGAGTGGTATACGTGCCATACGTATCAAGACAACAGGGCAACAGTGCCGGTCGGGATGCTGTTCGACAGATTATTATGGAACGACTTGCTAGAGGCAACAAACCACTTGCTGCTTTTCCGGAGGTTAGCGTGAATCTTTTTTTAATTTTATAAGATGTTGGAACTAATTTGTTTTTACAATTTCTTAGGGTGGGCTTACGAATGGAAGGAAGGGCTTGCTGCAGTATCACAAGTTTCTCTTCTCGCTTGATAAAACCGTGCAACCGCTTGCTATACGAGCATCGGACGGACCTTTTGTAAGGAGTTTAGCTCGGAATTGATCACTGTATCTGCGTAAATTGACCTTTTCTTCACTTCGCAGCCGGTAAATATTAATGATGAGACCAGCACGTTCCTGGCCAACGTGTTGTGGTACCTGTTCGTACCGTGGCACACGTACACGGTGCAGTTTCTGTCATGCACCAAGGCTGAACAAGGTGAAGACCCACTGATGTTTGCACAGCGAGTGATGAAGATAACGGCGGATGCCTTGGAGCAGGAGGCTTCGCCTTTTATGTATCGCGACAAGATCGCATTCACTAGATATAAGAACCGACAACTCAAGACAAACACGAAATGACCGATGTAATAGCCAAGAAATGACGAGGTGTTGTTGTGGCTTCTTTAAGTACTTGTAGCACTATACGTGTGGCTTCAGTCCTAGTTGATAAAGTCATCTAAGTTTTTCCACTCAAACGGTTTTTCAAGCAGATTCATTTTTGCTCTCCTGAAGAGCTTCAAGTAACGGTAGTCGACGTGGCTTTCCAGCTCCTTCCCTTTCAATAACTCGACAGGCCAACTGGACTTGGTCATTCCCGGTAACGCTTTGGCGTATTTTTCGTCAATCTGTGAGTTGGCCATAATGAGAGTTTTCGCGGTCATCTCCGCTTCCGTCGCCCCTCGTGTGGTAACCACGGGATCACGCCACGAGACGAAATCTCCTTTTCTTTTCTTGCTAAAAGCCCCCACGTAGCGCTCGTAGAACTTAAATCCCGTATTATCCCGGCCACCAAACCTTGGACAAACTTTGGTCCAAAAAAGGTAACCCTTCCCTTCACAAAACCCATAACGATAGTTAGATATAAGGGGTAAAATCGGGCGTAGATTCCGATTTTGAGGTCTATTTTTGCGTATCTGCAACCATTGATCTCCCAATCGGCCGTTTAAAAAAGGCTCTATATCTTGCAGAATTGTTTGCAATTGTGGGCTTGGCACGTACTAACATGCATGCATATTCATTGGCAGAGCCGGGATAACAGGTGGGGATTTTCAGAACCGGATGGATAAATTCCAAATATTACCGCAATTTGACGATTGTTAGAAAATTATAAACTTGTTAAAAAGAACCCGTCAAAAGAATATCTAGAGTGTAAAGAACATACAACGGGTCACCCGTTCATATTCCTAATCGGCTACAGCTTCATTGTCATCGACGGCGTCATCCTCTTCCGTGTCCTCGTTGCTGCCCTCTGGTTCCGATGCAATTTCGCATTCATCACCTTGCTGCAGATATTTTGTCTCGTATTTCTGGAGGCCTCCCAGATGGTTTTGGACCTTCCATCTGTCATAATTAATTTGTCGACCACTGAAATGATAAATATCAATAATAACTGAAATGATATGAAGTACAGCCTACCGAGGTGAAATTCTTGTCGTGGTGCTGCTCCCAGTGCGCCCATATAGCTGAAATGGTGCCCGTAGCAAAGCCTAAACACTCTTTGACATGATAACGAACTCCTCCTTTCCATAGATGCGGTGCAGAGGCCTTCTTTTGGCGGAGGAACTCGTAGGTCTTCACAACCAAGTACTTCTCAGCAGCAGTCAATTTCTTACCGGCGACCATTTGAAAAGTAGTGAACATTATTAGATGCTGTGAAGTTCTTACGAGAATAAATAGACACCAAGCTATCTATTAAGGGGACACACAACGAAATCGGCTCTACGGTTGCGGAGTTACATTCCTCTAATTTAAGATAAAATATATTACCATTTTTGTCCAAAGTGTCCACAACTCTCTTCAAATCAGCGGCTGTGGTTATACGTTTGAGCCCCAGGTCGTTCCAAATCGCAAACGTGGGGACGTTCCTTTCTAGCTTCCTGTGTAGTCGAAATTCGAGCGTCTTTCTGGCAAATAACTCATAATACACGTAGTTCTTGTGCGCCTTGAGTGCCGCGCCGTTCAACCCACGCAGCTTCAATATCTTCCTGGCGTAGTCGTCAGAGACCCCGAACTCCGCCCATAGTCGCGCTCTTATCCACTGCCAAGTGCTTCTTTCCGTCGAGCTGTCGTCGTTATCAATATCAACAGAAGTGTCTGTCCGCAGCAATCGACTTTTGTCCGTGGAGATTGTCGACATCCACGAAGTGTTGTCTGCCATAATGAGGTTCCAACTGTAGAGAAGAACAGCAATCGTAATGATAAGCAATTGAAAAAAAAACGCATAACTGATTGACAAGACAAGGAGGGCTCCGCTAATGACAGTGAGTTTCTAAGTGCTGCCCGCTCAGTGGCACAGCCATGAAAGAGGCAGCACACCCGCACAAACCAATGAAAAACCGAGCTCAGACTATAATGATGATGATGATGCTTTTATATTACGCGCTGATAACCTACATTTTTGTCTTTTATAATAGTCGATGTTTTTTCTTTGGCACGCCCAACTGGGAAATTATGAGACGGGGCATTTGCCCCAACTCGCCCCAAACCGCGACCAAACAAAGACCAAACGAGCCCAACCTGAGCCCAATCCAGAGCCTTCTAAATCGAGCCAGCTCCTCGTGTATACGTATAGCCGAATAGAGCGATGTGTTGGAGCTGGATCTCTCAGCGTCCACGTGGTCTCGACGCCGCGACTGCATTTCAGCGTTCTCATGGAATTCAAGCTTGATAGAAATCAGTCGTATCAACTTTAAGATAACATGTGAGAAGGCCAAAATATATTGAGAGTTAGCGATAGTCATTTGTCTGCGCTGCCTCTACAGACACGTACAAAGATAGCGGTAACGCAGGCACTGCAGCATCTTTTTGTCCACGTGACCTAGTGGCTCTGCGCCACAAAACATTTCAAAAGCAAGCAAGACGTAGATTCCGCAGTTGTAGCTGTCAGTCTGAGCCCCGAGTCCTGCGTCGAAGACTCTCACCCGAAACGCTTTCTGTGCACCTGGAGGCAGTAGCACTACCATCGTCTGCGCTACGGCACGTACGTTGACGACGTACGAAGAAGAACTCGAATCGTACACGTAAATGACTCCACCCTCGAGGTCCATCATAATAGCACACCAGTGGTTACCGTTGCAATTCACTGGAATCAACACCTTCTCCGTCGTCAGCCCAGATAACGCCTCTCGAATGATTTCGCTGGAGGTGTTCACGCTTCCGTCCACAACGATTCCCAGTGTCGAAGAGTCGAAAACGGCAATATTGGGCTTACAACCAAACAGTTTGGCCAGTATTTTGTACATTACCTCGTCCGTTATCAGCTCTTTACCTGCCAATGCTAGCACATCCATCTACACAGACGTAGTTAGTTTACCATCATACTCTCAATTACACACTGGTTCATACCTGTGGGGTCAAAACTTCAATCTGTCTCAGCTTTGACGGCAGGGCGGGGTCTTCCTCGATTAAATAGCTGGCATTACCGCAATTAGACAGATCCAGGTTCTCTATCCATGCCAGCGCGCGGGAGATCCTTCTGAATGCTGCTGCTGCAACGTGCCACTTTTTCATGAGCTTGATCGTTGAGTTGACGAATACTCCAACTCCTACTATTTCTAGAGCAATGTCCAGCTCGCGAATGCCACGATTCTTTCGCTGAAACGCTGACACTTTAGCCCCGCACTTCCTTAATAGATCCATCGGAAAGATTCTAACTATTTCATCAGGCCGCATCAACGGCTTCGTAGCTGGAAGCTTCCTCAAGTCGTGCGCGATTGGCGGCTTCGGTTTTGTCGCGAAGACGAAGAGCTTAAACATGAGTATGTTCTCTTGGGCCGAGTCAAAAGTTACATTGTCAGAGAGAAGCTCGAATGCCGAAATTAGGGTGAGTTGCTTATCGTGCATCTCGAGATCCTCTTGAACCATCGCAATATGTAGTTTCCGTTTAGCTTTTACAGCCTTAGGTTTCTGTTTTGGGCGGCCTTTTGCTTTTGGTGGACTTTGAAGCTCGAATTCGGCTTCGCCTTCATCGAGGTTGACGCTGTTAACCTCCTCGACCACCTCTGCACCTGATGGAGCCGACTGAGTCGACTCTGTGCCCAACTGGACCGACTGATCCAACTCCGTGCCCGACTGAACCAACTGAGTCAACTCCGTGCCCAACTGAACCAACTGAGTCAGCTCCGTGCCCGATTGAACCAACTCCGTGTCCGGCTGGGCCACCTCGTTACTCGAGCGAGACGCAGGATCCACATGAGTGTTAGAGTTCGTTCCAGCTGAACAATTATCCCTTGAAAACTCCTCGCGATTTCCAATAGGTGCAGATTTATCATGAACAGGATCAGCGGCAGGAATAGCATCAAATTCACCATGCTTGAACAGCGTGGCCACGCTGCGTAGAGCTTCCATTGCCAACTTATACTCAATCATTCCCGTACCGCTCATATGTTCACTAATTGTGGTCGCGACGAGATGGGCTTCTCGAAATTTGTGGTTGCTGTCCCAAACAGTACTCGCTTCCGGCAACAGTACGCAGTTCTAGTTTGTGGATACTGGCTGTGAGTGTGCTTCGTTAACGGGTGGTTGTGCTCTAGCCGCACAGACGTAAGTTTCAAAGCAAATTTCTGCCCAGAAGGATCAACCATTTGCACACAGGCATTGATCTGCAACCACAGGAAACTCTGTTAGCCCAACTCAACCCAACCAACCCAAATCGTACCCAACTGTGACCAACTACACCAACTCGAACCCACCTGTGCGCCACACTGCATAGCTCTCGAATGCTGGCGCTTCCTCTTGCCTTTGCCTTTTGGTTTGTATTTCCCCCCGTGCGTACAAATGTACGTCCTTGCGTAGTAAATCCATTCGTCGGGAACCAGTGGTGCTTTGGAGCCAGACTCCTGAATTTTTTTGTTCCTCTCAGTAACCTTGTTATTTGTCCGGACGCGAAAGCTCTACATATGACCAACATCAATGCATATATCCAAGTTGGTAACCACGCCGTCTCCACAGCTATTTATAACAAGTAATAGCATCTTACCTGGTATGTTTCGGCCCCGTATGATTTAAGAAACTCCTCCAAGTCGCCCCATGACTCAAACGCATATCTGCGCGGGGGGGCCGCTTGAATCCTATCCGATTCCTCACTTGAGTCAATTGCTGCGGTCTGAGGTGACGCCGACGTTCCATAACGAACTTGTTTCGACCGGCTCCCGCAGCTTACAGCACTGGAGGCATCTGATGATGTTCCCACCCACTCCTCGTCGCTGTTGTTAAGTGAACACTCATTCAAATTCTCGCTGACTTCGTCGCTGGATGACACGGGGGGTCGCAAGACCTCCTTGACGCGCAAGTTCTTGGCAGGCTGGTTCCCGACTGCTTTGGCCCGTAAGTCGCGCGATGCAGGGCGTGTTACCGTCGTGACGCGTTGATCGCATGCTGCCGCTACGCCGCAGTCGCGGTCGCTCTCCATGGCTCGTATTCCTGCTCGACTCCCCACCGATGAATTAATGGTGAGGAGGGGGGATCGTAATATACACTATACGCCGGACGGATGAACTAGTGGGGTAGGGTAATGATCTGATCGACGATTTGACGACCTCAGTTGGGCTCTCCAGCCACTCTCTTTTTCTTTACCGGTATTGTGCATTCGGAGCGAAATTTGCCAAAAATCGACCTGTTAATGTTCTTTTTTTCTGCAACTTGATTGGTCAGATGAATGCAAGATCGAATGATTTCGTCCTTATGACCTCGATTACAACAATCAAGCGCGGCAAGCAAAATTGCCTCTGTCTGATATGACAGTTGAGACACCCGACGCCACTTTGAATGGAGTTGAAATTAGGGAAAATGACAAAATGTGAGTGGATACACTAAAGTTGTGACAGAAAGTTAAAGGTGTGCCAAAACGTGAGCAAAGTGGGGTCGGTATCGCCGGTAGGTGTACCAAGTGAAACCCGCGTCAGTAAGTGAGGAATTTAGGGAACAAACGTCACAATGTGTGTCTAACTGATTGAATGGCTGAAAAAAGGTGGGCCGGACTTAAACCCAAAAACCCGTTGTATACTAATGTTCGCCATGCGTATGAAGACCCAAATCGTACACTTTTGTGGAGTATGGCACACCAAGTATCAGACGACATTGCCTGAACAGACTCAGCGAATACTGAGAGGAGGCGCGTGCCTCGATGGCTCGTGTTTCGCTCTCGCGTGCCTCCAAGACATATCGGCAACGCGACTGGCGACAGTGAGCGGGCGGCATACGCCGGCGACCAGGCATAGCCGGTGGCACGCGGCTACTGAAGCAGCAGCATGAAGGACAGGTACTGCTGCCGCAGGAGCTCGTAGGTAGGGATAGTTTGAGGACTCTTTGACTAATCTCACTTCGCAACTTGGTATACAGCGCGCAATACGTCATAACTCTTAAGTACCAAAACCACTTATTACGACTGAGGGCCCCAAAATGACGGAGGACATCGACGACATCGCTGATGGATTGGACAGCGGCGATGAGGAAAACACTATTCAGGTCGTAATGACTTTTGATACTGCTTCACATGCTCTTCATGCTGTTCGAGACTACGCCTTATCTCATGAGAGGTCTGTACAGTACGAGTTTTACGTGCGCGTCTATACTCAGTACTGCGACCTCTGCAGCATAACATGGTTTCATGCAATACCAGTGTCTGGTGAGCCACAAGAATACACCGCTACAGGTCCGGATCACCTAGCCCAGCTCGTACTTGAGCAGCAAATGGATGGATTTTCAGTGAGCGATCTGCAGGCCTATTACACGACGTGGCTGTGTTTGTAATATATCCCCCTGAGTCAGAATAATTAGCGCGAGTTAACCTGACTTTCTCCTTGAGTCAGAATAACTCGCGCGAGCTAATCTGACTTTCTTCCTGAGTCAGAATAACTCGCGCGAGTTATTCTGACTTTCTCCCCGATTCAGATTAAGTCGCGCGAGTTAATCTGAATTATCTGAGTCTGATTCGTTTTGAACGGCTGGTTCCGATGGCCAATCCCGAATTAAGGGCGCGATGGCCAAGCGCACGTGCACCCAGCGGGTTGAGAGAGAGAAGATAGAGCTGCTGAAAAAGTGGAAAGCTTATCCAGAATGGACTGCAGCAGACGCTTCGCGAGAGCTAACGTCAAGGAGTCTACTCTGCGTGGATGAAAACAACAGTATCGGGATAAACTAGACTGGGGGCTCTGTGATTACCGGTATCGTCTCCCAATTGGGATTGGCTCCCACCGACCAACAAGGGATTTGCTGAATGCCAAGTTGCGACAGTAAGTGAGTCGGTACGAAAGCTGTGTTCACCGTCTTCGTCTGTGATCATTTTACACTTTCTGTCACAACTTTCATGTATTCACTCACCTGGTGTCATTTTCTAGTTGAAATTATACTCGTTTATACTTTTGTATTTGACGACTTTTGTCCTTGACAAAACACTCCCCCGGGAAGTCATTCCAGACACCTTACGGCACATTAGCTCATACAATAACGCGTAGTATACACGAAGAGTTGCTTATATGGTTGTCGAGAGCTTATGCAGGGGTACAGTTCTATGACGATGCATCCCAAAAATGAGGCCAAGCAAGGACATCAACTTTTGGTCCTGTTTTTTGTCCTTAAAGTTTTCTTGTTGGGGTTGATAAGAGCTTATGCGAAGACCATCAGCTCGAGCCGAAAAGAGACAAGAAGAGACGGGTCACTGCTGTCTGTTTGCAGCTTGTTCTTCCAAAAGGAACGCCGTACATACCAGAATGATGCCTGTATACCGGTTTTAACAATGTGATGCTGAAAACACAATTTCCTTGCTTCGTCTGTACATTATGACCCGTTTGTGGCCGAGATGTGCACCTACCTATCTCTTCTTAGTTGAACTGGGTTTAAATTAGAGGACAAGTAATTCGGAAAAGCTGAAGGGAACAAGCGAAATGGAGCGGAGTGGTGTGTGTTTTGTCACGAGTATTCAATGGGATTGTCCCTTTCGTGCAATCATTTTGTCGCATGTTTTCGTTTGTACAGACGATCCTCTCTGTATCGATACCTTCAATACACCGACGGACAGAATGCAACTGCCATTAAAATTCAACGTAAAACGGGCGCAGGTCATAGCTGCCACTTGCAAATCTACCAAATAAGCCAATCAAAACAGCTAAAACGCCACATTGTACAGCTGAACTGCAGTGGTTATTCTGCACCAGTCACTTGGTAAAATGGAGGCGGTACGTGTAGCTGAAACCACCTCGGAGTTCGAGTCCGAACGCCGGTCGGAGCCCCCACCTGAGCCTCCGTCACCACCAGAAATCGTGGCGATTGCAGACCTACTTGACGAGGTATACGCGGAGCCTAAACAGCGTCAGATGCATTATACAATGAAGAAGAAACGACATGCTCTTGAAGGGCAAGAAGGGCGAATATACTGCGTATCAGTCTCTACAAAGGTTGCTACGACGTTTTGCCTATCGGCATGGCTTCGTGCAGCGCACTTAAAGGTAGTGCTTTGACTTATAAATTGTATGGAACTGATCTAATTTGATCATTTTGATATTTTATTTATAGGAAAATTGGTAGAAGTACAGGACAGTTTCGCTAAACTTTTTAAGTCTAAGTACAAAACCAACTTTTAGTGCTAAATACAGCTGCCTCCCTAACTTTGCCAAAAACTCTTGGTAATTCGTTACTGTAAAAAAAAGTGCTGTGGTCATCTGACCGCTTTTGTACCAGTGGGAAAGTGGCAGTTGCATTCTGTCCGTCGGTGTAGTAACTCCCACCAAATGAAGTGGTTGAAAGGGTGTTAGCTTACAAACTTAAGATACACATACCTGTATCCTCTCATTAGTGAATAGTAATGCAAGAATGACGGATATTTTTATTAAGAAGTACTTAATTATGCAAATGTCCATATTGTCGAGGCCGATTGAAGAATGATTACAGTGGCATCTGCTATTCCTCCTTGCTTTTTCCATAAAAGTACGCTCAGACACATCCGCATTGCATGTAAATGCAGTATAAAAGCGTTTTTTGCCAGCCAGCCGACCCAATTTGAGTCTAACTCAGGAGAGCGGACCGAACGGTGCAACTTTGAGCTTCCAATGGTTTGGCTTCCAGTAGGTTGTGCTTTAAGTTTCTAACCGTTGCCTGCCATAAAGCGCGCTGTAGCTGAAACACGTTTTGAGCCCACAACGCAAGCTGGACCAGTATTTTCATACTGTAGTACCATACTTGTGTTGATACAGACAATCATGTCCTTAATGATCTCTTGGCATAGAATACTCACGTACTGGTAGTAGTACTACAATAGAAAGCGAAATAATACCGGTACAGTACTATAGTAGTGTATTTTGCGGCAACATTTATTATTGCTTCACGAAAAAATTGAAATCTTTGATATTGTCAAGCGACACCAAATCATTTTTTTGTACTGTGTTGGCGGACTCTTGCATGTCTAGAACAAAATAGATTGACAGTGAAATTCGACGTCTAGATCTTTGGTGCCGTCGTTTAGTTCACCTTCGACGAGTACGATTTCACAATCATCTCACCATTCTTACCCTGGAAAGGCTCCGTGCCGGCCTCCAATTTCACCAAGTATTGTGTCTGGGGCAACGTGTTGTTTTTAGGGAGTTCGCTGAAAAACTTCTTTAAGTCCGCCGAAAACTTGTAAGCAGTCTTCTTCGCGACATATGAGAATACCTTGACATTCTTGTTCATACCCTGGAACAGTTCGAACACGACACCACCGATATTCACGGTCGCGATGGACTTGCCGCTGTCGGTCAGAGGCCAAGGCTCACCGAGGGCAGCCAGCCACACCATCAACTCGTACTCAGTTTCTCCAGTCGGGGACGAACTGGTGAACAGATCGTAGGCAACATTGGTAATGATGTGGTCGCCGTAAGTGTACGTGTACTCAATCGACGTAGGAATCGACTTGATCGCCGAGATCTGCTTGGGTTGGAACTTTAGCGCAGCGTTGGCGAACGACTTGACCTGCCATTTGTCACCAGCCCAGTTGAAGCTAGTCTTCCATGACACGGACGAGCTGGTGCTGCCAGTCACCTCCGTACACTGTGCACCAGATTTGTCGTTGTCTTCACCCCATAGGTTGTTGTACACCGTGTAGTCTCCGACAACCTTGCGGTCATCACGGCCGCAGAACTTCTGGCCATCTACAGTGGAAGCCAGGGCGACGAGGGAAAGAGTAGCAGGGATCAGGAGCTTCATCGATTTAGTGATACGTGTGAGTGTCTTGAAGCAGATTGCCGAGTGAACTGAAAACTAAAGACGGTAGCTTCTATTATACCTGTACGTGAAAAACGGCCAGCAGGTTGTTGGTTAATCCTTTACGTTCTTCGAACGTAGTAGTTACCATTGGCAGCTAATTTGAATCACAAGGGATGTGGTTCCATCCCAAACTTGAGCATGGTCGCACAGCATTTATTTAAACAATGTGCCGGTAGTGACAATCATATTTTTTAACTATTAATAAACCTAAAATTAAATCAAAAATGAGGACTTAGTGTTTTTTAACGCTGGATTATCGCTATTGATGTTGTAAGAAATACAGTGCCATCTTCGGTTTTGGCATAAAACATGATATAAAACTTGTTTGCTGCTTACGTTTTAGCACGCGGCCCTTTTTGGAAAAATATCTTTCCTGAAGATGCTCTTAAAGCGTGTAGCCTGCCACAAATTTATCGGTACATGTTTGACACAATCCAAAATATCCTTATTGACCAGGTCCTATTTAATAGCACGCTACTTTAGCAAAAAGACCGCCGTTAATTAAGACTTGCCGCTGGAGACGCTCTAAGAGAAGTATTACTTGTCGCATCTACAGTACAGTAACCGCACTGTAATCATGTACCCTTGGCGCGACTCAAAATCGTAATCAAAATCGTCAAACGTGAGCTTAAAGTGGATTACAGACGATCCTCTCTGTACAGTGCCCGCCAAATCATTAAGACCCCCGATTTGGCGGGACAATTCTGACAATATCTCGGCATCTAGCCTGAGTTGAGAGCTGCTACTTTGATATGTTCTCTCTATTAGGCTTACAGAGGTGCCACTTGTGTTAACAACTTAGATTTCTATGTATCTGACAGGGCTGGTATACAAATTCAAGGTTTGGACATCAGCGTCAAATTATTAAGACCACATCCTTTTTATGACGAAAAACACTTTTATGAACAGACCTTACAAATTTCTATATTAAAAGAGTGATGGTCAAAATAAGTAGATGGTTGGCGGAAATGAGCGGGTAGCTAGACGCTACGGAGGCTGTGAGCCTTTCATTTTCTAATGGGCCACGGCAAGACCCTCTCCCAACAAGAGTACTTGTTTATCGTCGGTCTCCACGACGGAGGCGTCTCTCTGCACGAGATCGCTAGGAAGACAGGTCGGTCCCGTACGTCCGTCCGGAACGCAGTCAAGGCGGAGCGGGGACGGAAGGAAGACAGGGCGTCATGGTGTGGGGCGCTTTTAGTGCAGCAGGTAAGAGTGAGCTGGCCATCTTGCGTGGACGTCAGAATTCAGGTGACTATATTTACACGTTATCTGAATATCTACTCCCTTTTGCTCACGCTAACTATGGTGTTGACTTTGTATTTCAGCAAGACAATGCTTCGATTCATGCCTCGCATGAAACGAAGCAATTCTTGCAGGAGATGCAACTCAACACCATGGCTTGGCCAGCTCGCTCGCCTGACTGCAACCCCATCGAGAACGTCTGGTCGGCGATGGCGGCCAAGGTGTATGCACATGGCCGCCAGTACCAAAACGTTGCTGATCTGGAGGCAGCAATCATGGCTGCATGGGACTCCATTCAGCTAGACTACTTGCTGAAGCTGATAGAGTCCATGCCTCGCCGCTGGATCAAGAAGAAAGGTGGTCTGACTAAGTACTAATTTTTAATTTAGAAATTTGTAAGGTCTGTTCATAAAAGTGTTTTTTCGTCATAAAAAGGATGTGGTCTTAATAATTTGACGCTGATGTCCAAACCTTGAATTTGTATACCAGCCCTGTCAGATACATAGAAATCTAAGTTGTTAACACAAGTGGCACCTCTGTAAGCCTAATAGAGAGAACATATCAAAGTAGCAGCTCTCAACTCAGGCTAGAAGCCGAGATATTGTCAGAATTGTCCCGCCAAATCGGGGGTCTTAATGATTTGGCGGGCACTGTATTGATGGCGTCAGGAAGCCACATAATATTATTATATAGAGGAGTACTAAAAAGAGTTGTATCCAAAAGAAGTCGTGCTGTTCGCTAACCGCAAAGTTGCTTGATTTTTGCCGGCTTGCGCTGGCGTTTATCAATTCCCCGACCAACACTACAATAGTGCTTACACATTCGCTCACTAAGGTCCCACCCACGTCGCGAAACAGGCTAACGAATAAGCAGCGACGGCAGATCTGCCGCCACAAAGCCGAAGATCCATCATTGAGCCAAGTCCTGCTTGTACTGTAGTATCTTCGATCACTTTCACAGCATTGGAGCGTAATTTAGGAAAAGAAACATTATCTTCGAATTGTTCTGGAATTAACAATACACTACCACCTCCCTACTGAAAATAACGTGCATTTGACAAAAATTTGCGCACCGCTTCCCCTCATTTTTATTTCCGTTTTCAGAGGCCTAGCGGTGGATGTCCTTCTTTGTGATTGTTGCCTATTAGTTAGTATTGTCAATTTGTTTATTTTCAAGCATTTTTCTTTTGAAACAGTATGGTGGAACGAGTGCGGTTTTCCTCTTAATTCGGATTTCAATTTGTACTGGCAAGCGCAGCAAGTCCGGGCGTCTTTGTTGGAACCAGCTTCGATCGCTGAGGACAAGTAGAATGGGCTAGTATTTGTAGCGCTGAAGTGGGTCATTGTTGGAGCTGTTGGGGGAGTATTGGATTACTACGGTTGTGAATTCGCCAAAGACTCGTGGAGAACTGAAACAATATTAGGCGATTCCGGCATCAACTGAAGCCGTTTCCTGCGTTATGGTGCAGGGCATGGCCTCGGGCCCCCTCAAGGCCGGATAGATTTGCTAACATCGTTCACAACAGGCCAGAGGGCACTAGGAAGAGCTAACACCTCCTCTGTTTTGGACAAGGCCGTCCCAGAGGAGTCGAGCAAGCAACGCCAAGCGTGCTTCGTATTCGAGATTCCAAGGATCTAGTGTATCATTTGGAAAAGAAGTATGCGAACGCACTTACCAACCTAACTCCCACCAGATTGAGCCGTACGGCACAAAGGACTGGATCACGAGACAGCGGTCTCGGTCTCGCGAATATAGCGAGGTTATAGATGACTTATTCGCTGCGAAGGCAAAGGCAGGCATGGTGCGGCAGTCAAATTCACCGCACTCGACGCCGACTTTCTGCATTCAAAAACTAACCGGGTAGTGGCAACAGATCGTGAATATACCAAGTCAAACAATGCTATGATGCCGGCTCAGACACCAATTCCGCGAAAGGATTGTTGTGGAACAGCATGACCACCTGTCTGCCGTACAGCGCGTTGGACCGGGTGGATGGTTTCTAACAGATCCTGATGGGGGAGAGCGACATCGTACCCACCGCGGTAAACACTCCGAACGTCATGCTTCGGGATTGGCTCGTCATACCGAATGGACTGTTTAACGCTCAAATGGCATTTAATCGCTTAGTTTAGCAGCTTGCCAAACCGCTGCGTGCCTTCTTACAAACGTACTTTGACGCCATATTCTTCCATAGTCGTACCGAAGGAGGCAAGACGGCCATGGAGGGAGGTGCATCTTGATCCCCTCTGTCGAGTGTTAGATGTCATGCGGCTAACAAGGTTTACGCCAACATCGACAAGTCCGTCTTCGCGACACCAGAGGTAAGCGTTCTCGGCTGCACCGTCAGCAATATCGGTGCTTGGGCTGCCCCAGACAAGATTACGGTGGCCACCGCCCCGATCCCAGAAGGACCTTCGGAATTGGTTAGGCTTCGTCAACTTTCTCCACAAGTACATCGCAGGGTACGCGAGACTCGCTAAGCCCTTGGTCGACCTCCTTAAGAAGGACGTCGACTGGCGCAGGGAATAGGTGGAGGCCTTTGGGGACACTAAGATGATTATGATTAGCAGGATCAGTGGTGCAATGGCTGCGGACCGGGACATACATAATAAGTACTCTGACAAACATGGAAGAGAAAACGTATGGTTGAAAGTGTGCTACTCTACACTAGAACCCTACCGATAAACACTCGCAGCACTGTCGACAAAAAACAAGTTGAAGCACCGCTTCATCGGACCGTTCGCGGTCCTGGCCAGACAAGGTGAGTCATACCCCCATCGACCTATCAAAGTCAATGAGGACGCTCCTAAAGCTTTACGTTAAACAGCTTAAACGGTACCACATTCCGCAGGGGTTGAGGACTCGCAGATCCAGTTTAGACCATCTCCTCGAAGCGAAGCGCTGCCTCAGACGTCGACAGGCGCTCTGTGCATCAATGCTGCGATAACGATTGTACGCCGGTGGGGCCCCGCTCGAACGAATCCCAGGGGCATACGCCGAGTCTGCCAGGTACGGCTAGGTGTTCGCCAAAAAAGACTCCGGACGTTGTTACAGACCCTCCACGCGTCGAAAATACGGAGGGGCTCCTCAAGATCGGTCGAGAAGGCCTGACGGTCAACACGCTGATGCCTGTCGAAGACCTCCCGATCCAGCTGGTCCAGGCAGCCCACAAGTCGAGGCTGAGCGACCGTCCCCAAGGCCAAGTTCAATTTCAAGCACGAGTACTCGTTGACGGAGGCGGTAAACCTCAGAGCCCAGCGTCGGACCGCAAGTGGAGAAATTACGCGGGAGAAGTGTCCCGGAGGATATTCGTACTCGTACGAGGGAACCTTCGCCCTTGCTTGCCTGAAATGGAGAGGTCCACCACGGGGATCAGATTCTCCAGGAACGACAGCTTCTCGTGACGTGGACGGGTTATGCCCACTCCGAGAACTCGTGAAAGCCGATTGAACGGCTCCGGATAGACTAGTCGAAGGCTGTTGCGATCTGGAAACAGAAGCGGCGGCAGCTTCGTAAGTAGTCCGGGGCTTCTTGCCCGAACGGGGTACGGACGTTGACGACACTCCGTACCCGCGCGCTTTGTGACCTCAGAATCCACGCGCTTCAGAAGGTCCTTTGGCAGCATGTGGTTGCTGATCAAGTCGGCGAACCGTACACGAACATCACGCTGGGTCAGGATGAGGGACAGCTGCTGA